CGGGTATGCGTGGTTCCTACGTACGGGCTCCTGTAAATCTTTTACGGGTAAGTTGCTGACTCGGGAACGTGAAATGCTAGAAAGCTGGGATTTTAAGGCGATGTTTTCGGCCTACGTTGAACTTAGTGATTTCAGGATGTTCTCCCAGTTACGCGCGGTTCTCACGTACGGGCCAATGAAACCTTTTGGCGGTTAGATTGCTAAATTGGAAACCAGGAAAGCTATAAAGCTAAAATTTTAAGCAGGTGTTTCCTGACAGTCCTGGCGGCCAGTCTAAGTTCGTTTAGACAGAAGCATCTGCCGAAAAAATCGGTGCCGTTAACAACAAAAACCTTTGATGAACGGTGTGAAAAACGCATCTTCGCATCGGCAGTCGGTGCGCCGGCCAATTATTTAGGTATGTTTTCATGCGCAGGATTAAAAAAAAAAAAAGTCATCAGATGTGTGTAAGATTTGTTTAAAAATACGCACTTGCCGAGAGATCTTGTTTTGAAAGAGATTTAAACCGTAAGTCGGGATTTCTTCCTTATTTTCACTCCCCCATGTAAATATGAGGGAGGCAGTCCGGGGCGGTTAGCACTGTGCTGAAAAACATGCGAAGGGCGGTTTAAGTCGGCTAGTGTGGTTAAATCAGTTTGTCATCAGAATGGTCCAGTGGGTCATACAGTGTGGCTGGTTGCGCAGCAGCATTCGTAGTCGGTGATTGGGATGTTAGGATTGGTGTTACGGAACATTGCTTTCCGTTTTTTTCTGAGACAAGCAGCACCACCTTCAAAAGTTTTCAAATGATTATCAGTTGTTAAAGTATGCCATGCGATGATGGTCATTGCTTACATTGAAGTGAATTCATGCGCGGTATTTTTTCTGGTTGCTGCTGGAATGTTGTAGGTAAGCAGCTACGAGGTACGCCATTTGGCTTGTTCCACTAGGAATTAGCTCGGAGTGCTGCTGTTCATGATAAAACTGCTTGCATACTAATGATTTCCCGTATTCGTTGCTTCAATTGTTAACGCCGATTTAGTGCTCATCACACGATTTTCATCAACCAGATTATTGTGAGCTCGCTTAAATTGTTGCTTAATTCATTCAGCGATCTCAGCGCAAACAGTGTTGCATGGATAGATTCCTCGGCGTGGTCGCTTTCCTCAGCACTAACTTGGCTGGACTTATCATCGAATCGTCTTCGTACACTCCCATCTTTGCTGTTCAAGAAGCTTTCGCGCCTGGAGTATCTTTCGCTGGCTGATAATCAGATTGATACTATTCATCGGAATTCAATGCAGGGCTTGGACAACCTGAATTATCTGTTAGTTTTGACTGTACAGTGTGAATGATTTCTGATTTTGTGTCCAGCTGCAAAATCACGTGCAGTTGTGTGGTGTATGGATTTTTTTGGGAAGCATGTTTCAGGGATCTTTCTGGAAATGGTTTGGCGATGTGTGTGGAAGACGAGTCCGCTCTCGTTAATACCTCACTGCCAAAATTGCAAACTCTCAGGTTTGCGTCAAATCGTGTGCGTACAATTCCAGCGCGTGCATTTGAAAATTTCCCGTCTTTGCAAATTTTGGATCTCACGGACAATCCGATTGCCAGTGTACAGAATGGTGCATTCGAATCGCTTCATCTAAGAAGATTGTACGTGCCATCATAATTTTTCTCATTTTTTTTTTAAGTAATTACTTTTTGCTTTTTGATTTTAGCCATATTTCAAGGTTTCTGTATATTTTACTGTTTGTAATACTCAGAAAAGTATGAATGTGGTGGAGCGATAGTACTTGGCCAACAGCAACCAAATGCTGAAAGGCTGCGTCGGTGACCCCGTCCTGTGAGGGATGTTGAGAAGTATGCCGAATGCGGTTGTCCCTCCCTTTTTTTGTCTTGTGTCGAAATGAGCTGATGGACGGAAGCGATATTGGTTTTTATGCGGATGGATTTGAACCGCTGACTTGGACGACCCTGAGAACTGTCAGTACATCCAAGATCGCCTTTTAATATGCAGTAGTGAAAGAAGCAAAATTTGAAAAATGGTGCATCGATCAAATTTTGATAGAAGTAGCTCAGTAGTTCTTAGCATTCTTGATGCAATTACTTAGTGTCAGGACATCTGTATGTATTATATTGTTATTGCGCGATGTAGTTTGAAAAAAGAATCTTGGCAAAGTCAGCATTTATACGTACATGTTAATGTTATGCATGTGTATATGTATATACATATATATGTACATATACATGTATGTGTGCGTATGTGGAGAGACCTTTCACTGTGTAGAATTTTCGAGTGCTTTACGAATTCGGCAGCAGCTGCACTGTTGTTTATCGAGCGAACGCTGTTTGATTGCAGGTTTATCAACACGTCGTCGCTTGTTTGTGACTGTGAGTTGAAGTGGTACTCTCGTTGGCTGTTTTCTTCGCATCTGGATCGCAGGACAGTGGCCATGCTGTGTTCCCATCCGGCGCCTTTACGTGGCATCGATGTCGCTGTGATTGATAGTGCAAATTTGACTTGTGGTATTGCTTTAAAAGATTTCTCCCAAAAAAATACCGTTCCTGCTTCTTCGTGAAACCGTTGATGTTTGGGCGTTGCGATCTGTTCTCAGTTGTTTGCTGGTTCTTAATTGGTGTTGTGCGCTTGTAGTTGATGACTCGCCGCGTCCTCGATTGCTCAGCCATCCGGACGCACTGGTGAAAGTGTTGCTGGGAAATGTCGTGGGACTGAATTGCACGGGTTATGGTGCTGCACCGTTGGACATCAAATGGAAGGTTATCCGGGATGGGCGATTCCGTCTTTTGACGCATGACGCAACAACAAGCTTAAACTTTAGTCGCTCTCCAATCACAAACAGTTTGTTTCTTTTTATTCGACTTTCTGATTTTGTAGTTATCTACTTTCTTTCTTTCTTCATTGATTATACGCAAATCCACTGCTTTTTTTAATATGGAAGTGTGGAAGTTAAGATTTTTTTAATATCTTTTTTGGAAATCTGGTCTTTTTTTTGATCACTGATTGTGATCAAATTACATTTGAGGTTCGGTGACAGGACTTGCGATGGAACATTTGTTCAGTGAGTTGCAGCTGAGGGATATCGATTTTAGTGATCAAGCGGAATATCAGTGTATCGTACGCAATCATTATGGTTCAGCATATTCGTTAAGGTAGGTTTTTTATCTGTTGTCCAATGATATTATAGCAGGTCCCTCTTCCATATTGTTGTCTGTGTGTTTCAGGACTAAGTTAGTAGTGCTACAGAAGCCACGCATTGATTCTTCACCGTCAAATATTTCAATTGTTCGTGGAGGCAGCGCGAGGTTACGATGCGCCGCACAAGGTTCCATTTGTTTACGCAGAGCTAGCTGCCATATTATAACAAGGCCCAAAATTTCATATGGTTGCTTTCTACTTCAACAATTTGGACAAAGACATTCACTGCCATTTTATTCTTTACATGCATTCAGCAGGCATGAATTGTCGTTGCTAAATAACACATTGTGGTAGAAGAGCAGTTAATCCAGCGGCTGG